AGGGTGCGGCCGGCGGTGGGTTGGCTGAGCGCCCTCGCTGCGAACCCGGGGCGATCGGTCGGCTCTGTCGCCCCAGCGAGGAAAGGGCAGGTCCGAAGCCCAAGTCCACGTCCTCCTGCGCGCTTCAGTCCCGCAAGGTCCCTGGGACCTGCGCTCCCCGCTCGTGCGTGCGCACCGCGCGTTCCCTTCCCGGCAGGTGACTCACCTTAGGCGCTGATTCTCCTCGCGCCGCCTGGGAAGCAGGGGGAGCCATCCTGGCGAGCTCGCACCGCAGCCGGGCTGGGATGCCGGCGGAAAGGCAGCCCGGGGCGGAGTCCGCGCCAGGAGCGGGCTCCCTGGCGCTCCTTGTCGCCATTGAACGCGCCCGCTCCCTTCGGTTTCGCGTCCGGGAGTGGATGGCGATCTACCAGGAGAGCGCGGATAACTCAGCTCTGCTTTTGCTCGTGCCTGGCCATTGCACACGTGCAAACGTCAGCTCTGAAACCCAGCAGGGTCTACCTGCCCGCCCCCCCCCCTCCGCCCAGCTCCGCTATGTGGGAGGTTTTGTGTGAGAACTGGACCAGCGCTCAGTAGCTGAACTGCAGGTTTAGAGTTCCGAGGGGCGTGGGGTTGGACTCCCCTCGGAGAAGCTGGGATGCCTGCTTACCCAAGCCAAAGCGGGTCACCTTAAAGACAGGTCAGCAAATGCGTTGTAAAAAAAAAAAAAAGCCGAATGAACATCAAAGTAAGGTAATTTTTTTTAGATGAGATGTCAGTAGCTCTTCCATATCTTAAACATTGAAAGGTAAATATTTAGAAGAATTATAATTTGTCGTTTAAGTTTTCAAAATCTTTCATTAACTTTGCTTAGTTTGAAAACACTTTTCTATCTAATGAATGGTTCCTACAGGACATTGACCGCTTTACTCTTGTAATGTTACTGGCTGCCCTTTTAGAAAGCAAAGCAATGACCGACATTTTGTCTACCTGATAAAGCCAAAGCCAGCACCTGGGAGGCCAAGGCCAAGCCTTGGTTTGAAAAAATACACTTTTAGGGGTTGTAAGGGCCTTGTCTACTTCTTTGAGCCAGACTAATGTTGACATGCCTATTTTTTTGGTGTACACACACGCGAGGTCTGACAAGTTCCGGAACTCAGCCTAGAAAAAGTGCTGCATACCTCATTGCTGAATATCATTATGATCACCTTTGAAGGACTCCCCTTGGGAAGCTATGCACTGACGCCAGAGCCTAGTCCACCCTTCAAAGCAAGTTTGGAACTCTTTTTCTATATAGGCCATCAGGGCTGTCATCGTATTACCCTTGATGTCCTGAATGTCATCAAAATGCCTTCCTTTCAATATTTTCTTTATCTTCGGGTAAAAAAAGTAGTCATTGGGGGCCAGATCAGGTGAGTAGGGAGGGTGTTCCAATACAGTTGTTTATTGGTTAAAAATTCCCTCGCAGATGGTGCCGTGTGAGCTGGCGCATTGTCGTGACGCAGGAGCCATGAATTGTTGGTGAAAAGTTCAGGTCGTCTGACTTTTTCACACAGCCTTTTCAGCACTTCCAAATAGCAAATTTGGTTAATTATTTGTCCAGTTGGTACAAATTCATTATGAGTAATTCCTCTGATATCAAAAAAGTCTAGCAACATTGCTGCAACAAGTTCACGAACTTAACTGGCAGACCTCCTATATTGTTTGAAAGGCCTTAGCATTTATATTTACTTTAGCTTTAAAAGAAGTGCTTTCCCCCCATTCTATGAAGCTGTGTAAAATCATGTCATTCTATGAAGCTGTGTAAAATCATGTATGAAGTTGTGTGGGTCAAATTGAGGCAGGACACGTAGCCTAAGAAATTGACAACCCCCTCCAGGGTGCAACTTGAGTGCTTCACTGGTTATACCAGTCACAAAGTAAATGTATCCAGTACCTACAGCTGGAAAAAAACATGAACCCGGTTTCCAGCTAAGCTGATTGCTATAACTGGGACGTGACCTTTAGCTAATTATAATGTCATTATAATCTCATTTACATTGTGGTTACTAGACTCCCATCATGCATCTGACACCATGACAGTTCCAGAGGAACCAAATAAAGAAGAAACGGCAGGAAAAGAGGGTCCCGCCCAGGCGGAGAAGATGAATGAACCACATCAATGGAATGTCCACCAATCCCCACCTGAGTCGGATAAATACCCCTCATCATGACTTCTCTCATTCCACTTGTTCTTTGAGCTCACCTGCATTTTCCTCTCAAGGGTGTACTTTCTTTTTCATGAACTCACTTTCACTTTCCTGCATGTCTCACTCTTGAATTCTTTCTTGGCAGAGACAAGAACCCAGTCACTGTTGCTCCAGTTTGAGTCCTCTCTGGGTTGAGTGTAGGGACACGTTCGGGACTCCCCCACAGAAGCCCCCAAAACCAAGATTGTAAGGTTGCTGCCTTGAGCCCAAGTTTGGCGGCCAACTAAGAGTTAACTAAGAAAGCCTCAGTACCTGCCACACTGAAATCAGTGTGCTCTTGGCCAAAGTCCTTGAAACTGTTTCACTCCTCTTGCGCTGAAAAACAACTCTTAGACTAAGCATTTCTCCCTTAGCCTTAGGGGCGCACTGGTTGTTTCCTACCACCTGTTCCTCTGTTATCTCTAATAGAAGACTGAGGTCAGTGAGGATGCGGGTGGGACTGCCTGTCCTCCTCCCCGTTGGCTGCATTGCATTTCTGTCTCTTCCTCGGTGTCTCCGGTTGCAAGAGTGACAGTTGAGTCCTCTCCTGGACACCCCTGTGAGCCTCCAGAGGCACCTGTAGTCTCTGCCAGTTACTGGTGTTCCTCAGCTCCTCCCAGCAGCTAAGCCCCGGCAGATCACGAGTTCTTCAAAATAGGGAGCGGCTTTGGTGTTCGGAGTTGGTTGGTATGGTTACTTTTCCCTAAGAGTTCAAAGTGCTTTTGTGCCCATAGTCTGAATCTCACAACTCACTTGTAAGATGCAAAGGGAGACCGGCAGCATGATTCCATGTGCACCCTGGGAGCCGAAGTCAGGTTAACCGATCAGTGTAGGTCCCCATGATGAGTCCTAGGAAGGAACTAGAACCCAGGCTCCAGCCCTGAGTCTCTGCTAGAAGCTTCCATGCAGGACGTGACTCCAGGCAGCTTCGGCAAATGACAAGAATTTGAGGGCTGGAATTTTAGCTTGTCTCATTTTTAGTCTCAACCAACATGCATTGATCGATGATCGATGCTCTTACATTGAGATAAATAAGAAAGTGTTAATTGGCTCTTTTGTTCTTATTTAGCTTTATGTTTCTGCCAAGACTTTTGTCAATTTCCCCTAAACCCCCTTCCTTGGCCTCTTCTGGGCATGACTTAAGTTTCCTAACAGGCATTTACACCTCAGCTATGTTATAACATGAACATTGTATTGAAAATATCTGCTTACCAATCTCTTTCCTGCTAGATTAGAAGGGCTTTGAAAATGAGGACCATGATTTAGTTATCTCTCCCAGAATCTTGCATGTCTAGTATACTCTCTTAAAAAAAAAGAGAGAGAGATCTATCAACTAAACTTCCCTGCAGGAGTCATGGTTTAGATGAGACATGTTTCCATTTCAAAGCTGTCAGTTTCAGAATGGGGGCTTCATCTGGAAAAGTGGCTGTCACTCTTTGATGTGTGGCCTAAGACCTTCTTACTCAGTGTCATCACCTGGAAAATGAGAGAAGGTTTTAGTACATGATCTCTAAGCTGCTTACTATATTCTAAGATACCAAAGTCTTTATTGAGCACCTACTATGTGTTCAACCCTATACCAGCCACTGTGGAAAGTGAAGACATCGTCACTGCCCTAGGGAGCAAAAAATCTTATCTTACGAAGAAACAGTTCAGCTGAAAACTGTTCTACAGAAGATAAAGGCTGAAGGAGTGAAATGGAAGCAAGCATCTGACCTATGCCTTCGGTCAACAACCAGTAATAACACCAGCGGAGGTGTATTCAAGGCTTTTGTGCCAGGTATTGAGCAGAATGAGCTATGTGAGTCACACGTTTTGTCCTTGTGCTAGCCTTCTTAGAAACTATGATTTCCTCATTTAAAAAGAAGGCAAAGAAGTTGAAAGCCCTGGCATAAATGTGTGGAGGTAATTAGGGCACCAGAGGGGGAGGAGGATTATCCAAGGTATCCAGTAAAAACTAGACCCCTCGGTCCAGTGCTCTCTGTAATTCAATGGTTTGCTTATGTTTGCTTTTGTTATTTCTGGTTGTATTTTTTTCTCCAATATGTGATGGGAGAGGGAGGCCAGGAGAAGGGGAGGTGGGGAGGGAAAGGAAAGAGCTTGCTCCTTCGGCAGATGTCCGGGATCCATCCATGGTCCCTCTCCCTGCCTGGATGCACGGTGACTTTATCTGTAACTCCTGTCTATGGGACTGCCCTGCAGAGCCTTTCCTCCCAGAATGGCCGTTGGAAACTTTCAGGTTAATAGCATGAATATTAAGTAGTCCAGTGGGATTCTTTATAAGCAGAGGAAATTGGGATCAGGTTAAAAATCCAATTTTAATAAACTTTCCAATTCCTGATGTAGATGGTGCGCTAATGGCTCTTACTGCTGAATCATCTGAAAAGTCAAATGCATTTTTAAAAGGTCCTTGTTGTATGGGAAGCTGGATGGGTATCATTTAATTGTGTATTGCTCATCCCTCTCTTCATGGAAGAGATGGTGTAAAACTGACGAGAGCAGATATAAAACGCCGCTATCCACAGAGCTGGTTGGGTCGAGGGGAGGCCTTGGGCTGGGAAGATGATTTTCGCTCTTTTGACTAAAACAAAGCGTGATTTATGCTGTGTGAAAACAGTATCCTCAAATAACTCCACTAATTTGATTGTACTGAGGTCTAGAACAGTTTGTTTCTTTTGATTTGTTAATTAGGCAGAGCAGTGGGCTTGTGAGAGAAAAAATGAGGGTCGTATCTCCAAAAACATGTGGTTTGTGAAAGATTTTGGTCCCTCCCAACTCAGCTCACCCATGACGTGCGTCCCCCCACCAAACTGTCCCAACTCCCCTGACTTTACCTGTATGTCCTTGAAAACAACCCAGCTATTCATGATTGATAGGTCGTCTGATGTTTTTCTGAAAACAGGGTTTTTATCCCCTTCAGGACACCAAGTCTACTCTTGGCACGTGTGGCTACAGCATGGAGTTGTGACTATTGCCTTTGTGGGACCATCCTTCACCAAAGTAAATAAATGAACTAATTAAATATTATATATCATGACTGCATCGGTGTAAAGATGAACATATTATTCTTATTTATTTATGTATATTTTTTCTGAGACCTAGAAGCTCAATATTTTTTTTCTGATTTCAAAAGAGATTAAAACATTTCTGAGAGGCCCTGAAGCACCTTGGGCTCCTGTGACATCTGATGGAGGGGTTGGCCCCATGAAGATGATGACAGTACAAAGGATGAATGCTTAATTGATGCTGGTAAAGTATGTATGATTAAATGCAATTTCAGACACATATTTTACAGTCCATTTGTTGTGTTGGATAAACAACTGTAGACAACATATTTCTTTTATTTCTGATCCTGTTGCCCCAAATTACACACATCAGTGCTGCAAGATTGCAATATTGCAGTCCTGAAGTAGTCCCCTTGTTCAAATTATTAGACCCTGCTGAGTGCTGGAATGCCTTCAGGGCAAGTGGAAATCCTAGCGCTGACTTTGATTTTAGGTTTGCTGGGACCCAAGCTGACTGATGCTTTGATGAGCAAGCCTTGCTGATTTTCTCTTTTAGGCTTTATTCAAGAATACTGGGAGATTCAAACTCTTTGGAGGAAAAACATCTTTTTCTATCTCCAGTCCCATCACTTTACTTGAATCATTTACTGGGTGCGTCTTACATATCAGCCCTGTGGTAGGTACGTATATGGGCAGAGATTTGTGAAAATAAAATGATTTATTTTGTTAAATTTAATAAAATGGAATCCCTTACCTGAAGGAGCTCACAGACGTGCATGAACAGAAAAATCACAGTTGAATCTGGTAATTGAATTATAATTTTTGCATTGTAAAATTACAACTCAATGATGAGATCCTGGTCCTCTGTATTAACCAGGAAGGTCAAAGGAGCATTGGACTGCGGTGCTCACACTGTCACGTGCTACCCTGAGCTCCAGCTTCAAGCCACATGTGATTTTTCCAGCAGCTCTCTCCTCGTGGAGTCCCCACTGAGGTCCTCTAGAGTGTGGCCATACTGTCCTTGAAAACTGACAGTGCTGCCTTCTCCTTTCTAAGCCTCGTTTTGATTCCAGGTTTAAAATAGAGCCAAAGCTCTGAGAAGTCTCTTGAAAGATGCAAGAGTTCTCTTTCCCCATCCAATACTTGCCTTATGAAAGTGTTGACAATGACACTCATAAGACCTAGCTATATATACTTTCTTCTCCTTTATGGCAGTAATAAGTATTTCATAGTATGCTTTGAAACTCAGACAATTTAGCTCTTACATGAAAAAACAAAAAAACATTTTGTATTTAAAATGATCGAATTAGCATATTTCATTATGTTTATATCAGTATTTATTGTAAACTAATACGAAGAGGGCTAATTTATGCAAGGTTTGGAAAATTCATTGGATACTATGGGAAACAAGGAAGATGTATGCAGAGGTAAATACACATCACGGCATTGATTGATTAGCGCTATCCTAGGAGATTTGAGTACATTCGCCTTTTACCCTCATTTCACGTTCGAATATAGAGAAGTGACTTCCTGAATGAAGGCCCTATTACCAGCATTGCTTGATTTAGAACCTGGTGAAAATCCAGTCCTCCTGTGCTTTCTCCCTGTTCCATGACAAGTCTCTCCTTCCCCTCTTAACGGCATACCGTCACTTTACAAAATTAGAAAGAGGATGCCAGAGTAATTTACGTTATATCTCCAAACAAAGGGGGAAGATATGGGTTCTTTTTCATGCTTTGAAATGTACTTAAGTTCTAGGAATCTAGCTATCCATGAGGTATTTACATCCAACATTCATATTATTATAATTACATTTAGTCAGCCAACTGACAAAATAAAATGCTAGGCTTAAAAGCTCACTTCTTGGTGTAGTTGTTTTTCTCTCCCTACATTGGACCCGCCCTTAAAATATAAAAGCTGTATGGAGACACAGTTCCTGGCAAGGCAAACTTTGTCTCACTTTGGGGGCCTTTGATTTCCTGGGGAGCTTCAGATCTCAGCTCTGGGGTCCGTGGTCATTCATTCATTCCAGCATCACCTAATCCTTTAGCTCTTACTCTGTGGTGGGCCCTGGAGATACAGCAGTGAGCTGGAGACAGTGCCCCCTGTCTTCAAGGAGCTGAACATCAGAAAGGTGTTGGTGAATGCTTTGGTGGCTACCGTGTCCTTCCCAGCCCTTCTTGGTCCTTTATCTAGAGTCAGCCATGTGTCATGGTGACTGCTTGGCCAACAATGATGGTAAAATGCCATCAACCATGAGATAATTCCAATTTCATAATATAAAATGTAAAAGAGAATCACCTTAAAGCCAATGAAATACATTATGTTATTTCTTAAAATCTTTGAAACACCAACCTTAAATCGTGTTTGATAACATTTGTTTTCCCTGTAACTTTCACATTCCCCTTCAATGTTGCCATAGAGAATAAAGAAAGTAAAAGGCATGGAATCAGATTTCGAGGCTTGTCAATTAGGAAACCACTCCCTTCATCAGCCTAGAGATGGATGCTACTCACGTCCTGGGAATTTGAACTAACCCTCAAAATGTTTGGTGTATTCAGAGAAAAAAGGTCATTTTTACCTTGATGGCTGAGGGATTCTGCTTCCAACTGGCTGGTCGGGGAAGGGAGGTCTCACAAAAAGGTGGGACCTGGGTCGTGTCCAGGAACCTTGGGCTTGGCTTCATTAGAGGACATTCAAATGGCAAAATTCTGTATGAAATTTCGGAACACTTGAGGAAAGAAAGAAGCATTTGCAGGCTCCGAGCGACACACGAGAGGGCTATGTGTTGCTCTTCAACCTCCACATCCCAGTATTCAAAGGTAAAGCTAAATTTCTAAGTTCATTCTCACATTTGTTTTATTATAAAGTGATACATGTTCATTATAGCTACTTTGGAAAATCATACAAAATTAAAAAGAAGGGTGGGGGAAGGCAATTCCTTGATTAAGATTGAGTAAATAATGGGTGAAATTAAAAAAAAAATTGAAATTGCCGGTTCGTTGTACTAGAGTACTTCCTTGTCTTTAGCATTTAAAGTTAGTTATGCTTAACTTAATTAAACATAACATTTATTGTGTATTTGTATTCCCAGTTTCTCAGGAACAGGTGCAAGCAGGGGCAGGGTCTTTGATCTGAAAACAAAAAAAAATCAATGAGTGTGTACTACTTCAGCAATTACTTTGTAAAGAAAAAAGGAACAAATAAATTCTTGTCTGATTATACATGGAATTCTGAAGAAGGGCCAGTCATAGAATAACTCTCGCTTTTATCCAGTTCTTGAAACAAGAGTACAGGAATGGGTTCAATGTTTATGAATGAGTTTTGGTTTGACACCCAGGCAAGGAGCACTGACCCCAGAGGCCCCACACCTCTTCCTCCCTCCCCAAAGTCACTGTTCTCCTGACTTTCTTCTGTTTTTGTTTTGTTTTAAAGATTTTTATTAAAATATAGCTAACATGCAATATTATATTAGTTTCATGTATACACAATAGTTATTCAACATTCATGTACCTAAAGAAATGGTCACCATGATAAGTCCAGCAGCCATTTGACACTGTACTACGCGATCACAATATTGTTGACTATATTCCCCATGCTGTACATTATATCCACATGACTTATTTGTTTTATACCTGGGAATTTGGACCTCTTATTCCTCTTCCCCCTTTTAAATTTATCAATTACAGTTGACATTCAATATTATTTTATATTAATTTCAGGTGTACAGCATAGTGGTTAGACATTTATATAATTTAAGAAGTGATCCCCCTGACTAGTCTAATACCCACCTCACACTATACAGAGTTATTACCATATTTTTAACTATATTCCCTATGCTTTACTTTACATCCCCATAACTATTTTGTAACTACCAATTTGTACTTCTTAATACTTTCACCTTTTTCACCCTGTCCCCCAATCCCCCTCCGATCCATCACCAACAAATCTAGTACCTGTTATACACCATACATAGTAATTACAATATTATTGACTATATTCCTTATGCTATACACTACACCCCCATGACTACTGTGCAACAACCAATTTGTACTTCTTAATCCCTTCCCCTTTTTCACCTATTCCCAGCCCACCTTCTGTCTGGCAACCATCAAAATGTTCTCTGTATCTATGAGTTAGTTTCTGTTTTGTTTGTTTATTTTGTTCTTTAGATTCCACATATAAGCAAAATCACATTGCATCTGTCTTTCTCTGTCTGACACTTCACTCAGTACAATATCCTTCGGGTCCATCCATGATGCTGCAGATGGCAAGAACCCATCCCCTTCCATGACCAAGCGATATTCCATTGTATATGTATGTACCACCTCCTCTGTATGCATTTATCCATTGGTGGACACCCAGGCTGCCTCCACATCTTGGTCATTGTAAATAATGCTGCAATGGATATATGGATACACATGTCCCCTCAAAGTAGAGTTTGGGTTTCTTCAGATAATTACCCAGAAGTGGGATTACTGGGTCCTTCTTTGTCACTTGTTACAGCCTTTGTTTTAAGGTCGATTTTGTCTGGTATAAGTCTTGGTACCACAGCTTTTTTGTTTGTTTCCCTTGTCATGAAATATCTTTTTCCCATCCCATTACTTTCAGTCTATGTTTGTCTTTTGATCTGAAGTGAGTCTCTGTAGGCAGCATATATAAGGGTCTTGTTTTCTTATCCATTCAGCACCCTTTATTTTTTTTAATTAATTAATTAACTAATTAATTAACTGGGGAATTGGGGGAGGGGAACAGACAAGTTGCTGTCCTTTTGTTCCTCAGTCTAGTTGTGGAGGATGTCTCCTCACTGGCCCATGTTGACATTGTGATCATTGCGCTCTTCCTGGGTGAGGCAGTCGCTCGCTGGTCACTGGACGGCCATTCACAGTGGCTCACGGCAGCTCATGAAAGCACATGCCAGCAGCCCGCCAGCTCTACTGCAGCCCACACCATGGCTGGTGACCCACGACAGCCCAGCTCTAGGTGGAGCTGCTGTTCACCATCCCAGCTGCAGAGGGCGCAGCATCACTGGCCCTCATGTGGGATCTGAACCGGGGCCCTGCTGCTCAGAGCTGGCATCCCGAGCCAACTCTTAACCAACGCACCACTCAGCCAGTCTTCAGCCACCCTTTATTTTGATTGGAGTATTTAATCCACTTTCATTCAAAGTAATTGTTGATGTTATTGAGATATATATACACACACACACTTTGCTGGTTTGGTGCAGAGGAACTCCTTCAGATTTTTCTTGTCTGGGAAGCTCTTTATCTGTCCTTCAATTCTAAATCATAGCTTTACTGGGTGGAGTAATCTTGGTTGTAAGTCCTGACTTTTCATCACTTTGAATATTTCTTGCCAATCCCTTCTGGCCTGCAAAGTTTCTGCTGAGAAATCAGCTGATGGCCTTATGGGAGCTCTCTTGTAGGTAACTAATTGTTTTTCTCTTGCTGCTTTTAAGATTCTCTCTTTAACCTTTGACATTTTAATTATGATGTGTCTTGGTGTGGCCCTCTTTGGGTTCCTCTTGTTTGGGACTCTGCACTTCCTGGGCTTCTTGTATATCTATTTGCTTCACCAGTTAGGGATGTTTTCAGATATTATTTCTTCAAGTAGGTTTTCAATTCCTTGCTTTCTCTCTTCTCCTTCTGTTACCCCCATGATGTGAATGTTGGTATGCTTGTTGTTGTCCCAGAGGCCACTTAAACTATTATTTTTTTTTGCATTCTTTTTGCTGTTCTGAATGGATATTTTCTGCTACCTTATCTTTTAAATTGCTGATTCAATCCTCTGCTTTGTTAATTTACTGTTGATTCCCTCTAATGTATTATTGATTTCAGTTGTTATATTCTTCATTTCTGAGTGGTTCTTTTTTATGTTTTCTATCTCCATTTTTATGTTTCCTATCTCTTTGTTAAAGTTTTCCCTGAGATCACTGAGCATCTTTATAACCAGTATTTGGGACTCTGCATCTGGTAGATTGCTTATCTCCATTTTTTTTCCTAGAGCTTTGTTCTGTTCTTTTGTTTGGGAAATGTTTCTTTGTCTCCCCATTTTTGCCATCTCCCTGTGTTTGTTTCTATGCAGGGCTGCTGTGTCTCCCAGTCTTATTAGAGTGTAGTAGGTGTCCTGTGGGACCCAGTGGTGCAGCCTTCCTGGCCACCAGAGCCAATGCTCCAGGTGAGGCCCTTCTGTGTGTTGTGTGTGCCCTCCTGTTGTAGTTGAGACTCGATTGCTGTTTGCATGTCAATTGAGGATTGACCCTCAAGCTGATTGGTTGTGAGGACTGGCTGTGAATACAATGGAGGAATTGTTGTGCAGGGGTGACCCTACAGAGTAGGGTTCACTTTAGCAGGACTCTGGTGCCTGCCCTGTCTGCCCTTTGGGTGTGTCATTTTTGGAGGTGGCCTGGTGATAGTCTAGCCCAGTCTGAAGCTGGCTACTGGGTTTACCAGCCCTGGAGCCTCCTGGGTGGGGACCTGCTACAGGCCAAGTTCAGCCGTAGTCTGTGCCCTGCCCCTGGTCCCCTGGCATGAGCCACAAAGCAATCCAGAGATGGCTGCCTCTCATGCTGTGCTTGCAGGTGCCTTGATAGTCTAAGCCACGAACAAAGGCCAGCCAATGCGAGTGCCAGGCTTAGGGACTACTCAGCCAGAGGTAGGGAACATGCTGAAACCAGATGCTGCTTGTTTGGGTTTTGTGAATCTTTGAGAGATTTTAGGAAATTCTGCAGCATAAGCCAAGGAAGGCCGTTTATATGGAAAAGCCACTGGAAGTGGCCTGGGTGTGGGCGTGGTTTCAGGGTATCAGTAGGGCGGGGCAGACAAAAGGTGATAGACAGTTTGATGAAGACTCAGATTGG